ACAAACTATCGATAGAAATCAACAAAACCTAGGGTATCTTGTATATCACAATAATTTGTGGGAAATGAAAAGAATATCGTTAGCCAAGATTATGTATCCCAAGAAAAGTACCAATCTAAACAAGGCTAACACTTGAGAAATTTGGTATAAGGCTGATTTGTTGTGTTTAGAGGATTTAATCTCATTGCTAGGATAGATAGGAAAGTCATTGGTAAGACTACTACGAATTCGTCAGGTTACGAAAGAAAACTCGGCTAAAAAAGGTTGGTCGAGTAGACCATCAATTCGAAGTTGGGGTTAACGATTTTAATCGTCACCCGATGGAGTTGCTAAAATCTAGATATGATCCTAAGGTTCAGCCTATTGTCTAAGTGAATAGGTTTAAGGTTCCCTAAGACAAAGTGTTTGGTTGGGTAAATTCCTAATCGGTAAGCTTCCACAACTAAGTTTCCTCAATGTCAAAGGAGTCGTTCTAAAAGGAGTAAGGAAAATTGATGTAGTATAAGAAAATGGATCGATGGTGTACTCAACTTCCCGCTTCAGTGGTATCTCAGGTAAAATTTTGAGAAATGACGCCAGAGATATACGTCCTCGAAACCTACCATACTACTTCATTTCACTACACCACATGCTAATAGGTCTTCACAGCTTTCTTGATACTCTTACAGCGGGAATTCAACTCGTGTTTTAGTTATAATGTTTGTTTGTGGAAGTGATCAGAAAAGTGATTGGTCGAAAAGGTTTTGCTAACATAAATGGGTAATATGGTTAACATAACTGTAAGTTTACGGCCCTCCTACAAGGCTTGTTCCTAAGTTTCCACGATTTTACTTTCTTCAGCTCAGGTTGTCACTGTTAATCAGTCTATCAGTCGCGCCGCTAATTAACACATTTATGATACTTTTGATAGTTTTGATATTGTTAGTTACCCTGAAACTGTGAACCGGCGTTATGGCATGAAGGTATCACTCCCAGATACTAGTACATGTGTCCGATATCAGAAATCATACTACCTGAATACAAGTTGACAACTTCTGGATATCGGACAGTATCGTCAATTAGTAGCGCCACAATAGGCTGATTACATATTAGAGCATGCTCAAATGGATAGTTTTGGATAATTGGTAAGGAACTAGTTTTGTGAGGTGGTGCCGTTGATTCTAGGGAAAATACTTGCTACATGGGGATTTCTACTAATTGTAGGTATAACAACTCATACTCACAAGCCTATACTCATCGAAATGATGAGTACAACATCGAAAGGAAATATGGGAACTAGTGTTGGTTGAAATGTCTTAAGGCCGGAAAAAGGAATTTGCAAATAATCTACTTTAGAACGGACTTAAACGGAAGTCGATCTTCCTCCTGAAGATCTAGAATGATCACTAGTGCATTTGAAAAGATTAGTGTTATCGTGGACAAAAAGGGTTATCCCCTAGATGTTCTTTCATCGAGTGCTACCACTTTAGCACCAGGTTGTCGCTCAAGAAATTTCTAGAATCTCAACAAAAGTAAACTTCGTTGGAATTCTGATAGATGGTATATTAAAGGATATTGCCAAGGAATCAAAACTATTAATGGTTTCCTAACTCGAAAGGGTTGGTAAAGATGACGAGATAATAGTAGTGGGATTGATGAGTAAAGTCTTTGGTGGCACACAATTACCAACACAATAGCCCTGCTTCAGGGCCACAGACTCGTCTCCGAATCAGGATTTTCCTTCGCAGTAAGTTTCTTTGTATAAAGTCTAGAAGTGGTTGTCGAAACGTTCTTCCAAGCATCAATAAGTCGTCTAAAATGCCCAAAACTTAGGAAAAAGCTAACACGTTTTTCATATTCAATGCGGTGGCAAGATTCAACACTTAGGCGTATTGTAGAAAGCTCTTTATGAAATGTATAAATGGAAACTAACAATTATTTATACACTATATAAAAGAAAAGACCCACTCACAGTTACTTGTGATGTCATATCCGTTCAAGCTAGGAAGCCGGAGTCTCCGATAGTAATTACACCTAAGCATAATATTGGGACCCATTAGTAAAACTCAACTAAAATGATTAAATTTGGGAAAACGGAGTGCGAATTTGGAATCAAAGCCTCGAAATACACTCAGGAGGGTCCCCGACAAATTTTACAAAAAGTCAACGAAAAAGTCAATGGTCAACCTTAAAAGGTCAATAGAGTCGCTCGGTCAGTCAACTATATTAAAATTTTAAAATTTCACTAAATAGATGGCAAAAACGGACTCAGGGCGTCGAAATTAGCCTATGAAGGTTTCCAAGAACCTTTGAAAAAGTCAATTAATAGTCAACGGTTAATTTTAACAAAATATTTCATTCTCAGACCGAATATTCTGTTAAAGTTAACGAAATATTCCCTTTAGATTTTGAAATGGGAATGGACAGGACCTGGGTTAAAGGGTTTAAAGGCCGAAGGCTTGGATTAGGTTTTGGGCTAGGTTTGGGCTTAAGGCCCTTTTTTTTTCTTTTTTTTTTTTGTTGCTTTTTTTTTTTTTTTTTGTATCAAGTCGGGTTGACCAATTTTGACTCTCGGGTCATCGAACCCAACGAAGAAGAACACTAGTATTTTGATCAGGAAACTTTCACGGCTCTGATTAGCTTCAAATCTCAATCAATTTCAATGTTCTAAATATGTACTTGAAGCTAGGAATGTAAAGGATTGGTTTATACCTAAGCCAAAACTCAGGAGTGGTGGAGAAGGCTAGAAAATGGGTTAGAACATCGGTACTTCACTCGTTGGAAAATTGGAAAACGCAGGACAGACACGAACAGGGCTAAAACCCTCAATTTTCAACTTAAAAACCACTCATGTATCTAGAAAAAGTCATTAAAAACTGAGATAAAATCCTAATCAAGTCATGCTCACCTCATCGTCTGGTTCCACGTTAACTCACCGGAGAGAATGGTGGTGGCTAGCCTCGGCCTAACTGCTGTTGCGCAGAGAAGAATACAGAAGGTCTAGAGTGTGGTCTTAACTTCTAGTGTTCTCACAGATGATGGTAGTCTGGTGATGTGAGGGTATGGAGTTCGCCGAGGACGGCGAGGTGGTGCAGTTGTGTATTGATGTACATCGAGGGAAATGACGAGAGATGGAGTTTGAGAGATGAGATTTGAGGTGTACGTGAGAGAGATGAGATGAGACACATTGTAGGTGGCCTGAGAACTCGGCGGAGTGGCGATAGCCATAAGTGGCGTGGTGGTGAAGCCTTCAATTTGTAGAAAAGAAGAAAGAGTTTTAGAGTTTAAAGTGAAATGAAGAAAAGAGAGAGTTTAAGTGAGAGAGAGTGAAAGTGAAAGAAAGAGAGAGAGAGATAGTGACAAATGAGCGAAGGTCCAGGAAGATGGGAGACACGAAAAAGAGGGAGGAGTATGGGGTGTGGGCCCCATGTGGCTCACAAAATAAGCCACAAAATATCTTCCACAAGAAATTATCAAATCGCCCTTCACGTTTGTAAGTCCATACAATCTCTATCGTAACTCCAAATTCAATTCCGCTTGCACCTACGCGTTCATAGTGACAAGCACTACAAGAACACACTAAAAAAACGTTTCATACATCTCACAATACGCTAGTCAATGAAAGTCAACATCCTAGCCTTTAAGAGCATTTTTGTCAATTCATTCTTTTAAAATTAATAAAAACGTAAAATAAGGGACGAGTTATCACATAAAATATCATCACAAAAATTCCTCAACTCTCTCTTTTCTCTCTACTGCCGTACTCTCTTTCTCCCTTCAGTAAACTAGACCACAACATGTTATCAAGCAAGCTTATGACGCTACGCTAAGGAACCGAAGGTTATTCTGCTGCAAACTTGTTTACAAGATTGATCATCGCAATTCAAGTAACTTTTAAAACACGTTCTAATGTCAATATCATTTCAGTCTTGATTGCATGACCATTCACCATTGATCGTGAATTCTAGTTTTTGTTTATAAAATTACATATTCTACATAAATTATTGTTTGCAATTATATTATTATATTTATGTTAATTGTAGTGACTTGAATATGATGGCATGGGTTAGAATTCTGCCAGTAGCTAATCTAACATTTAACTTACTAACATTATCGTTTCTCTCCAAAAAAAAAAAAGAAAGAAAGAAAGAAAAAAGGGTTTTTCAAACCCTAAATCACGTGTGAGCCGCAGCATGAAGTAGCCGATCCGTGCCGTCGAGTCGAGCCATTAGTGTTGAAAAACCCTTCTTCATCGTTTTCTGGTGAACCGACCACCACAGAAGACCTGCAGTCGTCTTTCCTGGTGAAATCTAGTCGTCCCAAATGACAATTTTGTCTTACCTGTTATTTTAATGGATGTTATACGATACGACTCATTAACATATTAGGTATGTCAAGCAAACGACTGAACATGAAAAACACGACATGCTAGGTCTAGCCCCACTTTTATCTCTCGCTTCACTCGATAGCTAAGCTCTGTTCACTACCATTCCATGCCGCCGAAGCTCGAGGTCGTCCAAAAATGCTCATCATCGTGGTAAGATGTTTTTTCCTTTTTGGTGGTGTTCTCGGTTCTGTTTATGGATGAAATGGAATTTAGATTTTCCTTGTTTTTCTGCTACTTTCCATTTTATTTTTTGAGCTTATTTGCTTACAATTTCAGGAGTTTAATGTTAATAATATAATTTGGGGGCAAGGGTTTTGTAATCCTAGACCTGAAGTTCTGTTCGAATTCTGACAGCCTGGTATCACTAGTATAAAAGAAAATCATGGTTAAAACAGTAGTTGGCCCAAAAAAAAAAAAAAAAGAGGCTTCGTGGACCCGTAGAAACCGGCTCATTTCAAGCACGGGTTAGTCCGGTTATGTTGTTAAAAAATTAGGATTAACCCCACCCCGTTTCATTTTCCGACAAATCCAGTCCGGTCCCTTCCGACAAATCCAGTCCGGTCCCTCCAATTTGGGGGCTGGCACGGCACTTATTGACCAGAAAAAGAACAACAAATTACTGTACTAACGAGAGGAAAACAAAAATACGCAGGCATCACAACATAAAACGTAATTACATACAGTTATATTTGCAGTAATTGCCAAAAATTCAAAAATAATCTTCTAAAATAAAATCTCAATTCAACTCCTCATACTGTTTAAAGTTTCAACCTTCAATCTAAAACCTAAACAAGAAATGCTTGCTCGAGACGAAGGGTAAATGCCGGAGGGCACTCTGCCACCTCTCAGTACCTCCTGGGGTAGCGATCCATGAATCTTCCCGAAGGGCACTCGTATGCCAAGTGTCCTCGTCCCCCACAGTTGTGACAGATCATCAAGGGGCCCATGCAATCCCTGCTCATGTGGCCAAGTTGCTGGCAGTTCCTACATACAACGTCACGGTAACTGCCTCCGCGTCCCCCCATTCCACCACCTGCACCTCCTCCACCTCCCCGCTCTCCCAAAACATTGCCTCTGGGGCACTGTCTCGCCACATGCCCCGATACATTGCATAAGTTGCAGATGGGTTCGTTTGGGCAATCACGTGCCAGGTGACCCGTCTTCCTACAGTTGTTACATGCCTTATCATTTGTGCAGTCAGCTGCAATATGACCCTGCTTGTAGCAGTTGTTGCACAACCTCAAGTCCCCAGGTGGCATTGGGGGAGCTGTGCAGTCTCGGGCGCGATGTCCAGTCTTACTACAAGTGTGGCAGATGCCTTCATTTGGGCAGTTACTGGCCATGTGACCAGGTTCCCGGCAGTTCCAACATAGTGACTTTGTTGTACACTCTGAAGCAATGTGCCTAGTAGAATATTCGAATCACATAATTAGAAATGAAACCCACTTTCCATTTTTGAAATAAACAGCAAACAAAAAAATATCTGCAGGGCGCAGGTCCATGATTCCGTGAATAAGAAACTACGTAACCTTATAAAGTGGTCGCTCTGGTTATCTCAAAATGGTTATAACATCAGTTTAGTGACAGTACTGAATGGTGGCAATAGTGGTTTAATCATTGAAGACTCAGAGGAGAAGATGCTGTTATTACTAAGAACACAAACTGTTTTTTATTACGAAGGTGAAAATAAAATTTTAACAGAAAAAAAGAGATAGAAACATCAGTTTTAAATTATTGGAGTAACTCTGATGGAAATGGACTGCTCGCTAGATGAAGCAGTAACATTTGTCTTGCTGCAAAGCAGTTCAGGTATAGACAGAAGAGGGATGCAGTTCAGGTGTAGACAGAAGAGGGATGCACTTCAGGTAGAGACAGAAGAGGGATGTAGATGCGTTAAAAGAAAAATATACATACTCAGGACATGTATCCCTAGACTATAGTATTAACTAGCTAAATTCTAACGTCACATTGGATTTTAACTCTAGAAATTCTGGAACCTTAAAACCTTGAAACCCTCTCCCAAAAAGCAAAGGTCCAAAAAAAAAAAAAAAAAAAAAAAACCATATTTTGATAAACAGTTACCTTTAATAGTAAAATAGAAACACTGTAATGAACAATGGAGATAAAAAATAATAATGCAACATCATGACGTTATGAGGCAGAATAAGTTTCCATACCCAGGAAGACCACAATTATGACAAATTGCAACATTGGGGCATTCTCTAGCAAAATGACCTGGCCGTTTGCAGTTCTTGCACAGGTTGTCTCGGCTGGCAAAAAATAAAGATGCATTTAGTTCTCAGCAGAATATAACAGCATTCCAAATTTCAAAACATAACTAGTTAAATGAAAGTCGCTTATTAAATAACTCCATGATTTTGACTTATCATCAAGAAGAATCAGAGCCACAACCAGAGAAAGAAACATTCAAACCCAAAAAATTAAAAAACGAGAGTATGCACTCTGAAGGTTTCAAAATTTTCTAACAAATTGCAAAAAAAGTGAAGGAGTTGCCACATGTACTGAGCTAAATTTATCTGACAAAACAAAAAGTACAATGTATACAACCTTTGTGCACCACTGGCAGTCTGTCTACAAGCAAAATGACTTACACTGAAGTGGGTAATTAATCAATCAATATGATTTGACACTTGTATTTGAAAACTTACAAAGCTCCAAATAATGTACAACAAAGCAAAGAAAATTATTATCCAGAGGCAAAATTATCATATATCAACTTCATAAGGTCTTCACAGGCATATTCAAGTAGAGGTCTCACTCAACAAATATGGTTAATCGTAACATTCGACACCATCTCCAATGAAGACATGTTGGAAGATTACTTTCTCCTTACCCCAAATATATAAAGACGAGAAGAAAAGAAAAATAGTCATAGGCCATAAAACCTGAAACCCCGACGTCCTCCATCTCTCCTGTAAGGTGCATCACGGTAGGAAAAACGATCAGAACGGATCTTCCGATCTGAAGGGCTCCTGCTCCGGCTCCGGCTCCTGCTGTCTGAACTCATGTTAATTAATTCTTATTAAGACCTAGTTTCACTGATTGAATGATAAACACCACCACAACCAACACCAAACAGCCGTTGCCTCCTCCCTGTCCACATCACAACCACATCCAAATTACAACCACACCCAAGATCGTATCCATGAGTCAAAACCAAACCAACTACTTTCCCTTCATAATAGAAAACACCAAATCCCAACAAATTACAGAAAATTATTTACTGCCACACTCAGAACCCAGATACTAAATACCCGGTTCCTCAACCACATCCTTCAAAAGAAAGTCATGCATCCTTAGCTAATAATTAAGCATTCCCATCAAACATCAAACTACATCAACAGTCAGACATTCCCTAAACTCCAACTTCTTGAGACCAGCTAAACAGAATGATCATCAACAGTCAGACATTCCCTAAACTTCAAGGCCTTTCGAAGAGAAGCACAAGGAAAATCAGCAAGCTGGCAACATATTTCCACTGAAAAAATCTGAAGCCATCATCTAGACTTTATTACAAGTAGAAATCAAGAGCGCTTAAAAGTTCTATGAAAAATTCCCCTTCCAAACAAAACAACATTTAGCATTGGGGATTTAGATCTCCCCGGAAGAACAAATTTTCTTTGTAAAACATAGGTATGTACAAAAATAATGTTAGCATTACTTATCCGCATGATCCTAAATATACAATAAATATATGATAGTGCACACTTAAGCTATCTTTCTTTGCCTATTGGTATTCGAGAAGCAAAGTTCTGTGTTCAACCTACTTGTAAGTTGCAACTACCTCTCTCATCCACCAGCCATAAAAGCCTTCATTTTTGAAAAAAAATACCTTCTGCAAATTACAACCCAAGATACTGTTTGAATTTCTTTAACTCCATACTCCCACCCTTGTATCAAACTTACGGTGGCCCTCACTTAGAAACTTCTGAACAAATGAAACGACACAAAAAAGTTCCCAATACTTGCTAAAATAATTTAGTTAGGGTCATTGTTCATAAAATTTTCCATAACCTAGCCCAGCTCTCGGCCAAATCATCTATTGTTTGGTTCCACCAATTCCCTCTTTCCGAGCATGCATATTCAATTGATACTCTCACACAATTACAATTACGTGTAACATCAACAATATATGGTCTGAGCGATTCAAAATCAAAGAGAAAATTCACAGCAGAAGAAAATCCAACTCAAATTAAACATTAAACCAAAGTAAATTAAACTAATTCAATTCAACGAATACATACACAGCGAGATTAGCCCTAACCCTAGAAATGGTAGACAAGGGAAAGTGCAATGAAGAAGAAGAAGGAATCTGAGCCAAAGAGTTACACAGACGGTGGCGCTACTGTGACTTGTGTGGCAGCAACGAAGTGAAGATATTTGCGGAGAGCGATAGACAGAGAGAGCGCGATTCGTAGACGGAAAGCCGCAGAGCTTCGATTGTGATTTGGGATTGTTGGTTGGGGCTCGACTGGATTTTATGTGATTTTACCTCCAAGCCCATTCTCAAGTGTTGGGCTAAAGTCACTCTCCTTGGGCCTAATTACCCATCTATGTTCCGGCCTGGTTACTCTCTCACTTTTGGTTTCCTTTTTCTTTCTTTTTTTAATATTTATTTTTAATTCCCTTTTTCCTAGAATGTTCTGGAAAATTTTGGAAAGAACATAAGTGCCAGTTTGGTAAATCAACTTAAATTTAATTTTTAAAATTCAAAACAAGTGTTGAGTGTTATTATGAACACGAAAAATTCCTGAAAACAAGATACAAGAATACGTGTACAAAGTAATATTTTTGTGGTGTTTAATGATTTTGGGGTTACGATCTCTCAAATTTGGTCATCTGATTCGATCTCCGTAAGATGTAGATTTGTTGATCCAAGGGCCGTCGAGGCTTGATCTTGGATGAACAGTTGTAAGTTTCTTCAAGGGCCTTCGTGGCTTTGATCTTGAAGGTTGATGGAAGTTTCTTCAAGGGCCTTCAGGGTTTGATCTTGAATGTTGATGGATGAGCGGATCTTCAAGGGCTTTTGGGCTTGATCTTGAAGAACGGTTGGTTTTTTTCAAGGGCCGTCGAGGCTTGATCTTGAATGAATAGTTGGTTTTCTTCAAGGGCTTTTGGGCTTGATCTTGAAGAATAGATGTGTGGATTTGTTTGTTGATCCAAGGGGCCGTCGAGGCTTGATCTAAGGATGAACAGTTGATGAATGGATCTTCAAGGGGCGTTGGGCTTGATCTTGAAGAATGGGTGTATGGGTTTGTTGAGGTTGTTGATCCAAAGGGCCGTTGGGGCTTGATCTTAGGATGAACGGATGATGAATGATGAACACTTTCTTCAAGGGCCGTCGAGGCTTGATCTTGAGTTGGTGGAAGTTCTTCAAGGGGGCTTTTGGGCTTGATCTTGAATAATGGTTGTGTGGATTTCTTCAAGGGCTTTTGGGCTTGATCTTGAAGGTTGATGGATGAGTGGATCTTCAAGGGCTTTTGGGCTTAATCTTGAAGAACGATTGGATGTGTGGATTCGTTGAGGTTGTTGATCCAAAGGGCCATTAGGGCTTGATCTTAGAATGAACGGATGATGAACGATGAACACTTTCTTCAAGGCCCGTCGGGGCTTGATCTTGAATAATGGTGGAAGTTTCTTCAAGGGCCGTCGGGGCTTGATCTTGAAGGAGGATTTGACGAAGAACGAAAAGTGCTTTCTTGATCCTTCGGAATTTTCTTGAGAGCTTTAGAACTTTAAGGCTTCAAGGTTTTGGTGTGTGGGTTTGTTGAGGTTGTTGATCCAAATGGCCGTTAGGGCTTGATCTTAGCATGAACGAATGATGAATGATGAACACTTTCTTCAAGGGCCGTCGGGGCTTGATCTTGAATAATGGTTGTGTGGATTTCTTCAAGGGCTTTTGGGCTTGATTTTGAAGGTTGATGGATGAGCGGATCTTCAAGAGCTTTTGGGCTTGATCTTGAAGAACGGTTGGATGTGTGGATTTGTTGATGTTGTTGATCCAAAAGACCGTTGGGGCTTGATCTTAGGATGAACGGATGATGAACAATGAACACTTTCTTCAAGGGCCGTCGGGGCTTGATCTTGAGTTGGTGGAAGTTCTTCAAGGGCCGTTGGGGCTTGATCTTGAGTTGGTGGAAGTTCTTCAAGGGCCGTTGGGGCTTGATCTTGAAGGAGGATTTAACAAAGAACGAAGAGTGCTTTCTTCATCCTTCGAGATTTTCTTGAGAGCTTTAGAATTTTAAGGCTTCAAGGTCTTGGTGTGTGTTTGTTTATCCAAAGGGTCGTTGGGGCTTGATCTTAGGATGAACGATGAACACTTTCTTCAAGGGCCGTCGGGGCTTGATCTTGAGTTGGTGGAAGTTCTTCAAGGGCCGTCGGGGCTTGATCTTGAAGGAAGATTTGATGAAGAATGAAGAGTGCTTTCTCCATTCTTCGGGATTCTTGGGAATTTGGGGGTTGGATGCTTGAGAGCTTTAGAGTTTCAAAGCTTCAAGGATTTTGGATGTGTGGGGAGTATTCTCTTCCATTTTGGGAGTAGAGAAATGTATTTGTCAATTGGTCTTGGTGTCTTGGTTTATGAATTGGTGTTTGTGTGTGAATTGGTTTCTGTTGGTGTGTCTATTCCTCTTGATGGAGAAGCCTATTTATAGGTTTTGAGAGTGAATCACCACCATTCATTTTTTTGGTGAAGTGAGTGGATGATGTAGGTGAAGTGAATGGAGGTTGTAGGTGAAGTAAGTGGATGTTTGTAGGTGAAGTAAGTGGATGATGTAGGTGAAATGAGTGGATGTTGTAGGTGAAGTAATTGGATGATGTAGGTGAAATGAGTGGAGGTTGTTGGTGAAGTGAGGGAATGATATAGGTGAAATAAGTGTTGTAATTTTAATACATTGGTTAGCATTTACTTCACTGAAATTTTGATGTCTACAAATGCCCCCACTTCAAGGCGCGTCGTAGACATGTGCTTGTCACGTGTAGAAGATGCGTTTTGAAGTCCTTTAATGTGGATGTCAACCCAAGGGCCGTCGATGCTTGATCTTGAATTGGGCTGGAAATTTCTTCAAGGGTCATCGAGGCTTGATCATGAGTTTGACTGGAAGATTTTTTGGTTTCCTCCAATCGTTGATTTTCAACAGGTTTAATCTTGAACTGGGCTGGAGGATTCTTTTGGTCTCCCCCGAAGGTCTGAACTTACTCCTTTTATCTGGAGTTGAATTTGATTCAAGGGTGGTGAACACTTGATTTTGAATCAGACTTGTGATTTCTTCAAGGGCCGTCGAGGCTTGATCTTGAGTGAAAATAGGACCATGAGCGGTTTTAGGATTCAGACATATGGCAGGCAAGCACGAGGTGGAGGTGATGACCTGTTTCTTTGTTCAATCTTTCCAATTCATATTGAAGAGGGTTGGAGGATGACTCAACATATGCAGTTGTTGCGTTTGCTGACGATCCACAAGATTGATGTTTCATTGTCACTCGTCTTAGCTGTTCTCCAAGCAGATGTGGTCCCTTCTCTGGAAGTGTATCAACCGTTGAAGATGACTACTCGAGAGCAACGCTAGGTAAGCAACCAGGGAATAGATTCCAGGTAGTCGGTTCCAGATTGGAAGACTGACTCCAAGTGCCGGCTGATTGCTCTCTTTCTCTTTGGCTTTTTTTTTTTTTTTTTTTTGGTGATTTTGATGATGATTTTGCCGTACACAGTTTATGCTCTTACGGGCCAGGAGTGCTTGGTGCCGTTTGCAGTTTCAGCTCATGCAGGCAAGGAGCGTTTGGTGCCATTTGCAGTTTCAACTCGTGCAGGCAAGGAGCATTTGGTGCCGTTTGCAGTTTCAACTCGTGCAGGCAAGGAGCGTTTGGTTGTCGCCTTTTAGGCTCGTGCGAACGAGGAGCTTTTTGAATTTGTCAAACGATCTTAGAAAGGCATTCCTTGCAATCTTCATAGCAAGGAGTCTTGACTGAGTGATTGAAGAAGTCTTTGGGGAAGAAATCGCGCATCGTGATGGCAACGGACGATCTTTGTGTCATAATTTCATCATCCTCAACACTTTCATGTAGCTTTGAAGGTTGACGGTAGCTGCTTTGCCCCCTTTCCGATTGGTGAACTTGTGGAGAAGACGTATGTTTCTGTGCTCCTCAATAGCATGCTTTGGTGCCCCCAGCAAGGTCAGGTTGATGACCGACTCGCGCCTTTGATGCTGCTCTTGCTTGCTTAGCGGTATCAACTTTGCAGCGGCATGTTGAGGAGTGGTTGTGGCACCAATGGATGCTCCATTTGTGGCAGAAGTGCTCATGCTTCTTCCCTTGGTGGTTGCAAGAACGGCTTGTCCCTTGCTTGATGCCATTGATTTTGGAGGTGTGCTTTGGTTTTCTTGAACGGAAAAAAAGATGAGAGGTAGAGATTATCCCACCGGGCGTGCCAAATTTGTGAACACGAAAAATTCCTGAAAACAAGAAACAAGAATACGTGTACAAAGTAATATTTTTGTGGTGTTTAATAATTTTGGGGTTACGATCTCTCAAATTTGGTCCTCTGATTCGATCTCCGTAAGATGTAGATTTGTTGATCCAAGGGTCGTCGAGGCTTAATCTTGGATGAACAGTTGTAAGTTTCTTCAAGGGCCTTCGTGGCTTTGATCTTGAAGGTTGATGGAAGTTTCTTCAAGGGCCTTCAGGGCTTGATCTTGAATGTTGATGGATGAACGGATCTTCAAGGGCTTTTGGGCTTGATCTTGAAGAACGGTTGGTTTTCTTCAAGGGCCGTCGAGGCTTGATCTTGAATGAACAGTTGGTTTTCTTGAAGGGCTTTTGGGCTTGATCTTGAAGAATAGATGCGTGGATTTGTTTGTTGATCCAAGGGGCCGTCGGGGCTTGATTTAAGGATGAACAGTTGATGAATGGATCTTCAAGGGGTGTTGGGCTTGATCTTGAAGAATGAATGTATGGGTTTGTTGAGGTTGTTGATCCAAAGGGCCGTTGGGGCTTGATCTTAGAATGAACGGATGATGAATGATGAACACTTTCTTCAAGGGCTGTCGGGGCTTGATCTTGAAAAATGGTTGTGTGGATTTCTTCAATGGCTTTTGGGCTTGATCTTGAAGGTTGATGGATGCGCGGATCTTCAAGAGCTTTTGGGCTTGATCTTGAAGAACGGTTGGATGTGTGGATTTGTTGATGTTGTTGATCCAAAGGGCCGTTGGGGCTTGATCTTAGGATGAACGGATGATGAACAATGAACACTTTCTTCAAGGGCCGTCGGGGCTTGATCTTGAGTTGGTGGAAGTTCTTCAAGGGCCGTTAGGGCTTGATCTTGAAGGAGGATTTGACGAAGAACGAAGAGTGCTTTCTTGATCCTTCGGGATTTTCTTGAGAGCTTTAGAACTTTAAAGCTTCAAGGTTTTGGTGTGTCTTCTTCAAGGGCCGTTAGGGCTTGATCTTGAAGGAGGATTTG